CCTTGGGACATTTTACTTTTACTTTAAACAAAGCAGACTGGACCATCATTTTTCAGTTAAAGCTTGTATATGTTGTCATAAAGGTTTTATTTCACTGTTCTGTAAGTTTTTGATTTTTTTGTTTTAGACAGTGTAATATATAAATAACGGGCAATGAATCATTACTGTTTTATAGACTCAGCAAGAAGAATTGTGGTCCTGGGAAAAACTGGAGCTGGAAAGAGTCTTACCAACATCCTGCGTGGAGAGCCTGCATTTAATATAAATCATTACGCCTCATCTGGAAGAAGGGAATGCCAGTCAAAGATTATATCTATCAGTGGAAAAACCATATTATTTATTGACACTCCTGGATTTTTTGACACAGACAGATCTGAGCAGGACATGAAGTCTGAAATAGTGAGGTGTATCACAGAATGTGCTCCTGGTCCTCATGCTTTTCTCATTGTGCTTAAAATGGAGAAATACACAGAGCATGAAAAGGGTGTGATAGACAAAATGAACCAGTGTTTCTCAGATGAAGCGCTCAGATTTGCCACAGTACTCTTTAGTCATGGTGACCAGTTTCCTGAGGGAATGAAGATCGAAGAGTTTGTTAAACAAAACAACGATCTGAGGGATCTGATCAAGAAGTGTGGGAATCGCTGCCACGTCATTGATAACAAATACTGGAAGAGCAACCAGGGAGATGAATACAGGACCAAGCAATACCAGCTGACAGAATTACTCAAAAAGATTAACACGATTATTGATGCAAACAGAGGAGGCTACTTCACCAATGAGATGCTGCAAGGAGTGACGAGAGATATTCAACAAGAGGAAGCCTGCATCAAACGATCTTTTCCAGATATTACAGAAGAAGAAACTGCAACAAAGGCAAAAAATGCTGTGTTTGATATGCTGTTAAAAGCTGCAGGAGTTAAAACTGGAGCTCTACTGGGTTCATTCCTAGGAGGGGAGACACAATTAGTGAAAGAAGAAATAAGTGTAGGTTCAGCAGCAGTAGCAGCTGAAGTGAAAGGAATACTTCCAGACGCAGCAGCAACAATTTCGGGTACCTCTTTTTCAGTCAAACATTTCTTTCAGCCTCAAGTGTTTATCAGTGATATATGTGACAAAATTATATTCAGTAACCAAGATTTAAATACTCACACAAACACACACACACACACAAAGAGAGAGAGAGAGTATGCATAGTACACAAACGGCAACCAAACATCCATCATAATTTGTCATACAATGAGAACAGGACAAATCAACAATTGACAACGACTAATTAATATTCACCACCTGACGGCATGTAGTATCCTGTCATGCCATTGTGATCAGATGTTTAAAAACAACAATCTAAGTTTTGAATTTGACACTATGATGGTAAAAATTATTTCAGTAGTATCCAATCAAATCATGATGGCCTTAAACTGAAGGATTATTAAAAGCCATTATTAAAATAAAAAAATAAAAAATAAACCTCAGCCTCTTGGGGGAACCTTCTGTTTGGTGTGGAGAAAAAAACAAAAACAAATCAAGCTCTGACTGATACCATTTTATTATTGTTATCAAAAATTGGGGTGTACAGGTGAACCCAAATGCAGGACAAGGTGACTTAAATAAAAGCAAGCTTTAATATAACAGCCCAAAATAATAGAGGGTCCAAACGTATTTTTTAAAAAAGTCCAGAAAGAAGAAGAAATAAACTAGATATTATATATAATATAACAGATATTATGAAGAAA